TTTGAGTCCGCTTCTTATTTTCTTCTACTTAGTATTTCTTGACAGTGAAGACTGAATTGCTGTTGTGGGTCGTTTTCCGTTCTGCGTTACGGGTCAGTATGGAAATCTTTACTTCCGTAAAACCTTCCCTTTTGTTTGAATTTTTTGGGGGGAAGCTCTAGGAACAAAAAGGCGTCTTTGGGAAGCCGAGGGGGAAACCTTTATCTTACAAACTTGGGGGTGAAATATCAGTCACAGTTGGCACAAAACCGATATTTCCACGAGCTCAATCAAAATACCGTTGCCTACCGGAGCTAGCAACAGGATTTGAATGTCCGAAACAATATTCACGTTTTGTCGTGCCATACCCACGCCACTTCATACCGAAAAACTCGGAAAATGGCGGAATGGTAAAAATATATTTGAGATTATGTGGACAAGATGCCCAGACCTGTATTTACAGTACAGTATCAATTACTCTCGATCAAAAGTATTTCAAAAATACCAAGATTCCAAGATACTTCAAAAAGTATTTGGAATACCGCATCTTGAGTATAGTATTTGAGATACACAAGTCTGGTCCAATAAAATGTCAGCATATTCTAGGATATATATATATATATATATAATTCCGACGTTTCGGGCAGACTCCGGCGGAAACGTCGATTAATAAACAGGCCGACGTTCTCGTTTTCCCCAGGGGTTTTCCATTCGACACCTACAAGTAGTAATCCAAACTTTGCGTCAAAAGTGTACTTCACGGGTTGATTTTTTCTTGTGAAATTAGAAAGCGTAGCACCCTTTCGGAAAAAAATAGGGCCAAGAAACTTGACAGGGTCAACGGCGGGCGCGACGCAGACGACACAGACCGTATTGCGGAGTGTGTTTGGCGCTCGTATGAATAGATGGCGCTACCTCTTTATTGAGAGTGGCCACAAACCCCCTGGTTTATTAAACTGAACATAATACTTTTGTCTGTACCTTTGGTTTAAATATAAATGCAGAAAATAAAACCAGAACCTAAAGTAAAAAATAAAAGCCGTCTACAACTTCCTCTAACGCCGAAGTAGAGCGCACTTCTTGAGGAGGAGAAGGGAAGGGTAGTGAGGTTCAAGTGTTCTCGGGGGGGGGGGGGGGGTCACGTGACCTCGGGGGGGGGGGGGGGATGGCCACGTGAGCTGAGGTCACGTGACGTTGGTGGGGTCACATGACACCCTCTCCAAGGTCAGGTGAGGGGTCACGTGACATTGGGGGTGTCACGTGACCTCGGGGGTCACGTGACCCCCCAGAGAAATTCTTCCGATAGATTATGCGGGGAATTTTTTCCGCTAGATATAGCTGGGAAATTTTTTCCGCTAGATTTAGCGGGAAAATATTTCCGCTAGATATAGCTGAGAAATTTTTTCCGCTTCATTTAGTGGGGAAATTTTTCCGCTAGATTTAGTGGGGAAATTTTTCAGCTAGATTTAGCGGGGAAATTTTTCCGCTAGATTTACTGGGGAAATTTTTTCGCTACATTTAGCGGGAAAATTTTTGCGCTAGATTTAGTGGGGCAATTTTGCCGCTAGATTAAGCGGTGAAATTTTTCCGCTAAATATACCGGCGAAAGTTTTTTCGCTAGATTTCCGGAGAAATTTTTCCGCTAGACTTAGCGGGGATATTTTTCCGCTAGACTTAGCGGGGAAATTATTTCGCTAGATTTAGCGGGGGGAATCTTTCTGCTAGATTGAGCGTAAAATTTCTCGGCTAAATTTAGCGGAATCTAGCGAAAAAAATTCCCCGTTAAATGTAGTGGCAAAATTTCTCCGCTAGATTTAGCGGAGAAATTTTCCGCTAGATTTAGCGGGAACATTTTTCCGCTAGATTTAGTGGGGAAATTTTTCAGCTAGATTTAGCGGGGAAATTTTTCAGCTAGATTTAGTGCGGAAATTTTTTGCTAGATTTAGCGGGGATATTTACCCATAATGCACCGCGCGGTTACGCCGACGGCGACGCCGACGCCGCACAAGCCGGGAACGGGTGCCTAAGAGCTGCGCTCTAAAAAATGAAAACCGTTCACAACTCCCCGTAATGCCGAAGTAGAGCGCAGCTCTTGAGGAGGAGGGAAGGGTACTAAGGTTCACGTGTTCTTCGGGGGGGGGGGGGGGGTCACGTGACTTCGGGGGGGGGGCGGCCACGTGATCTGAGGTCATGTGTCACATGACCCCCTCCCCAAGGTCACGTGGGGGTCACGTGACCTTGGGGGTGTCATGTGACCACGGGGGTCACGTGACCTCGGCGGGTAAGGTGACATCCCAGAGAACTTTTTCCGCTAGATTTAGCGGGGAAATATTTTCCGCTAGATTTAGCGGGGAAAGTTTTTACACTACATTTAGCGGGGAAATTTTTCCGCTAGATTTAGCGGGGAAAATTTTCCGCTAGATTTAGCGGGGAATTTTTTCCACTAGATTTATCGGGGAAATATTTCCGCTAGATTTAGTGGGACATTTTTCCGCTAGATTAAGACGGGAAATTTTCACGCTATTTAGCGGGGAAATTTTCCCGCTAAACTTAGCGGGAAATTTTCTACGCTAGATTTAGCGGGGAAGTTTTTCCGCTAGACTTAGCGGGGAAATTTTTCCGGTAGATTTAGTGGGGAAATTAGCCCATAATACACCGCGCGGTTGCGCCGACGGCGACGCCGACGCCGCTCAAGCCGGAAACGGGCGCCTAAGAGCTGCGCTCTAAAAAAAGCGTTTGCATAACGACGGCGCTTTTGCTGCAAACGGATTCCGTCTGCGTGTCGTCTGCTTCCTTTCGCTCGTCGGCTACACCTTCGGACGATGCTCCCGACGCTATGTATCAATACTCGCGCACAACACCCTGCAACTTGACTTAGTAGGCAAGTTTTCTGGCCCTATTTTTACAGAGAGGGAACTACGCATTCTAATTTTACAAGAAAAAACCGACCTGTGAAATAGACCTTTAACGAAAAATTTAGATCGCTTCGTGCAGGCGTCGATTTTTACGGTTCATTTGAGATCAAGCCTGGGGACTTCGTACACCCCATATGTATATATATATATATGTTTCCTCATTATTCGTTTCTTTTCAGGCGCAACAATCGTTCTTGTGCCAAGCTTTCGTTATTCTTGTAAAACTAATGCGGCTTTTTTGGGCGTGTAGACAATTTTTCTTGCAAGACTTTTCCGCCATTAAAATTAATTTTTATTCTCACCATCCTACGGCTGCTTGGTCCATGCACCTTTCTTTGGCCTATTTACATATATACAGCGTGTTTAAGACAACTAAGACCAAATTGCTTTTGGAAAAACTAAGCAAAACTAAGCATCGCACAGAAAAAAAAGGTTGAATCCGTGTTTGTGTCTGCCCAAGAGCCCTTTAGGAAAAAGAATAACGTTTGAAAAATAAATAGTTTTTGTTTGTTTTTAGGAAGGAACTTTAAGGCTATAGTTTCAGTTAGAAACTTACTCCACATCATCAATAACCGCTATATCAACCCTCAATAGACAACTATAAAGCATGCCGAGAGTTCTACAACGTTTTGAAAACCTTTCAATTTTGACGGATACTCTGGTTTCGGATTCTTATCCAAGCGGATCTTGACGGCAGCTGTCCTGCCCTCCGACGGCTGAAGCGCGGAACCAAGGCCGGACAATTCGCTATACTTCGCTTCAGCTTAGGTCCGAGCGCAGCGGATGTTATCAACCGAAGGGCCAATCAAACAGCGAAACAGGCACAACGTCATGGCGTGCTCTCTGCAGTTGAAAGGACTGGCTCCTGTGTGTGCTTCTCCACCAGCTAGTCCTATCAAGCGCAGAGAACATGTCGCGACGTTGCACTTCTTGCACCGTTAGATTGGCCCATCGGTCCAATCAAACAGTGATTGGCCTACGTCACAGGTCACGTGACCCTGTGACGTAGCGTAAGGTAAGGCGTTGTCAGACTCAACTGGCAAAACAGCTTCACGTTCCGTCCAGGTGTTCAGTGGCATGACGTCCGGATAATACATATTGATAACAGCTGACGATGCTGTGTTACGTTAGCAGACGTCACATCACGCCATGGTGCCACATAATGGTATCACATAACCTTGAGGTGTCACATAGCGTCATTGTCTAATGAACTGACACTTCATTCTGCGGATTAGATGCCGTTCCGGTACCATGTTCAGACGGAAACTGTTATGAACATTGAGACGTAATCAACATGACACAACCATCGATGCTACACCTCAATCGCTGACACACAATCCTAAGGAAGGTCACACCTGAAATCCGGCATTTTCAAACTCCACTGAAGTATGAGCGCGCCAGCGTTATTTAGAACTGGTGTGTACAATGTTATCTGTGCGAACGTATGGTTCCCAGCCAAGTTAATTCTTATCGTAGTTTCAATTATAATATAATTTTGTCAGCACTCTCTTCCAAGTTAAGCATATTGCACCCCTAATCTGTAAGAGATCATTCAGGTGCCTCGAGTTAGCCCTATAAAAAGATGGCCTTGACTTTTTTTTTTTTTTTTACTTCCTTCAATCGAGCGTTCGTTGACATTATCTGAAAAGAGGGAAATAACTGCCTCTAAAGTTGGAGATGAGTCAACTGGTGAAGGGATCTCGCTGCTAAATTGTGTTTTAGTGAATACTTAATTGCCTTAAGCAAGTACGCGTTAAGCCAGAGTGCGAATAATGCTTAATTTCATTAACCTCGCACTCAAGCTTTCGTTGTAGATTTATTTATCTGCTATTTGATTACCTTTTTGTCTTCTCTGAAACGAGCGGTTACTTGCCACTGGTGTGTGTTTTATGTCGATGTCGCGCAAGTTTGGATGAATCTGCGTTCTTGTGGTGAGGTAAGTATAGGCAATAAATGTTGGCTCCTCCTCGGTCCATATTGAATGTTTGCGGTAAGAGTAAACAATAGTAAGAGGGATAGCTTGTCTTCCTGGAATGCGTTACGTACGGAATACTTGATGCCTGAAATTTATTTCAGGAATTACGAATACCTTAAGCTTACACTTACGTCTTTTCTATATTCCGTGTATGTCTTGCTGATGTTTTGATGAGAGTACACAATGGCTGTGGTGTCACCGATTCTCTCTGTCGCTCTGTCAATCAAATGTCCCACAGTCCAGGGCAGTAGCTGGTCTTTCCCGGGCTTGTGAAAGTAGCTGAGTTTGGTGAGGTCCCTGTTTAGACATAAGAAGAAACATATTTTATATCTTACTAGGCCAGGCCAATCTGATGGTCTCCTTGCAACGTCAGTACGAGACATGTGCGATTTTTTTTTTATTTGAGTACAGGGGATTAACAGCGTGCTAGCACTTCTTCGCTTCTGCTAAATAAAGGCCGTGTATTTCTGCTCGTAAAGTGATTATAGGAATTATTAAAATTGCAAGGAGGCCCGGAATATCCAAGACATTTACATTAAAATTCTGCTGACATAAATGGTGTTCTTGTACGAACGTTCCAATGTTTGAGGTATTAACAAGAAATATTTCGGTTATGACATTTCTAATATACAAGGCGTTGAAAAGAGGAATTTACAAAGTAAATCAACACACTAAAACAAAATAGGTTGTGGGACCTAGTGTAAGCAACTAGGTGGAAGCTAAAATATCTGTTATAGAGTTCGAAATTAAGCTATTCGGTGCATGCTGGTAACAGGAATCAACAGCGCCGAAAGACACAAAGGAAGAGGACGAAATGCGCAAACACAGCACTAACTCATGATTTCGTTTTCTTTTCTCATCTTCTTCAATACATAAAATCAAAGAAGGGGGAAAAAGAAAAAAAGACTCACTCATAATCTTTCAAATAACCATTCAACAAATTAAAAACAAAAATGTAACGCAGTATCTAACAAATAAAAAAATGTAGGTACAAACCCTCAACTTTCTCATATACTTACCCAATCTACGAATAAATTCAAACTCTCCATTACACATGGTAACTGACGCTGCACTAACACGAACATCACGACCGTATATACAAACGTAATAAGCATTAATGGTTTTCCATAGCAATTTTTGGGGGATATTTTTTCAATATGTCAATGCGTTTGAACATAGCTGTATAACAACATTTGTTGGCGTGAACTGCAACGTTATCCGATGACCTAGACCTCAACGACGGATAGAAATATATATGTAGAAGTTTTAGCCATTCACCTGTCTCTCCTAGCTGTTCCTTACTGCCAGAAAATATATTTTTAATCGATTTCGACTGTATTTGAAACATTGTTTGATTTACACACTACAGGAGTACGTTTTGCTTTCTAAATTGCATCAAAGAATCGGGAAAACTTTGAAGGGGTCCAAAAAGAGAACAGAAACTTTGTATTTTTCCATCACATTCTTGATTCAATGGGAGAGGTTATTAAGATATGGTATTGCCACTGGTTGAGTGGGTGTGTTGTTTCGCCAGAATGTGTTTTAAAATAAATCTAGCCATGCTGTGTCAAAATGGTTTCAAAACAGTTCCGAATGTGATTTTGGTCAAAGTGATGCACGTGCTCAAGACTTTGCAAGCAGTTTGGCTTAGAGAAACGCTATAAGTCCGTCATGGACTAGTGATCTCAATCGCTGGTGAACTTCCTCCTGTTGTGACTTTCGTTCCCTTAAACGTACGGCAATTTAGAAAGGCAGATTTCCAGCGCCGCGGCACCGTTCACGAAAGAAGGTAAAAAAAAATGCAGAATTTTTGCCTTGCTGGTTAAGCCGTCAGCTCTGCGTGATAGTGTGTTCTCCAACTGTCGAAGAACGAATAGGCAAACATGTTTGCCGGTGGACAAAAATAATTTTTCTGACTGTTGGTTTTGCCTTAATGCGACAGGGTCACCAGAAACAGGTTTCCTTCGTGTTGACGGTCGAAATTGTTCACCTCTTTCGTCAATAGGACAGCGCCTTCAATTTAAGACTGATCGAAGCTGTAAAAGTTTTTATTTGAATATGTTCCTTCATAAACCATATAATCCAAAAAATGTGTAGGTGTGTATATAATCTTCCGTGCGGCTGGTCCATCGTGAAGAATTCTTCTGACCCCGAAATATCCGATTCATGGTCCGAGATATTCTATCCATGTTCAGGCATCAATGTGCCAAGATATCTGTCTCCAAGCTTGCCACATATTCCGACTAATTCCGCATTAATCCGCGAACTGTAACCCAAAATCTCTCCACAATTTGACGCTTGATTGTGCGAAGGGCATTCTGTATAACAACGCGGAGGAGATGATAAGAACTTTTCTCTCCGGTTCCAAGGACGACATTCCTTCTTCGCCCACCGAGATCGGCAGAGGAGCCTTCACATCAGTTCGCAATGCTGCAAAATGAGAACAGACGGGCAAGCAACAGGAAGAGCAATGTTTTCAGAATTGCTAAAGGACCGGGTAAGGTGTTCTGGGTGTCTTCTAAGGTCATGGAAAAAAGTATATTGAAAGGCCTCGAAGTAGACAGATCTGGCCATATATATTTAGAGTGGAAGTAAAAGCATAGAAAGTGTTATGTTATCTACACGCCTGGGCTTCCCTTCGATCATTAAGTATAATTGCGTTTGCATTGCGTGCCCGACATTTACCTGCACTGGAATGGCTCAGCTATTTGCGGCGTGATTTCACATGAGCTCTATGATTGTTATGATACAATTGTCCACTCCGATATTCTCAACACTTTAAAAAAGAGTGTCGTGTCTGCACATTATCTGACATCATAATTTAAGCGAAGAAATATTTAAAAAAAAGGTTTATTTGGTTAACCCTACGTTAGCCATAATGTGAATAAACACTTGGAGGTGAAGTTGTTGCTTTTTTGTGCAGTCCCGCCAGGAGTTTGAGAACAAATATAATGTAATCGTTTCACATGTGGTAGAGCTATATTCTATATTAAATTTCCCGCTCATAACGTCATTTTCGTGAAACATAATATAACTTTGTAAAAATATTGTAAGGTTTCCTGAAATCAGGAGCTGTGTTATTTCGACATTTTCCAAGAACATAGTTTCCAACCTCTCCCTCACAAACGGCTTAGCCATGGACCATGTTGTCATGGCTTCTCGGAATGTATCTAACGCGCGTTCCTCCCACCCGACACTAAAAGTATCTTGAGCGTGTTTGTAAATGACAGTTGGATAATTTCTTACATGAGCTTTTGTTGGTTTGAGTTGCTGTAAATATTGACTAAAGCAAGGTCGCACCATGGTTTCAGTGCTTTGAGACAAGACTACACTGAAAATATAATCCTAAAGCAAAATAAAGCTCAATGGCGATGTATCCTGCCTAGGTATTCCATGCGTGAGTTCCAAGCACAACATAACAGGATGAGTTCAGTGCAGGTTTCCTGCCTGCAATTCCGTGCCTACCTATTTGAAAGGGTCATAAATACTTTTTGTATCCGGCCTCTCTCCAATTCTCAGCGTTGTCGTTTTGTTTTCCTGTTTTTATATCATCTAGGACCAGTGTGTGTAGGGCTAATGAACACTGACGTGTCAAATAAACTCTCCCAAATGACGACATTGACTTTTTGATGGTTGGTAGCTGGTGAAAAAGAAAAAAAAAGTTTAGGCGCAATTTATTTAGCGGAATAACGATGGCACCAAGAACCTGCAATTTATGGGACTGGCATAAACGTATTTTAGGTTATTTGCGCCATCAGATGAAAGACAATGCATTGAACTGCACAACAGTTTCTACCGGTAACAACGAATACATTCTAAAAACGTGAAGACAACAGCTCGACGAACATTCTTATGCAACAAGAAGTAAAAGAAAAACGAAAAATATATTAACTGTAGCTTTTTTAACGTAAGACCTCCGTGTTGTTAGAAAACGATTTTTGACGACAGAGGTCAAAATCTTTTCAAAGTGTCTAAGTATCCTTATGACTCAAGGAAATCACACCACAGACGCGTGTTTAACGTTTGAAATTATTTTTGACGTTGTATGTCGAAGTAGTTGCCGTCTACAAAAAACTCTGGTGAGGCTTAACCTTTTAGCAAGAAGAGTGAGCTTCGCACATCCATCGTGTTTTCTTAATACCACCTGGTTGACAATTCCTCCGCGTGACGTCATTTTTACTAGTTTCCCGGCCCACCCTGAGCGACAGTCAAGCAAAAGCCCGATGGGAGAGCTCGCCAAATAGGAAAAAGCCTGCAACTTGGCGACGCGTCTGCTAACATCGTGAACGTCGTGAGTCGTTGCAAGACTCGTTCACAGTCAACGGGAACGCGAGATCTGCGGAGCTGCGAAGGTCCACTAGGGATGACGTTAAAGGAAGAACGGTATAGGCCTCGTCTTCTAGGTGGCATCCGTTCATCTCTAAATTGAGAAGGGAAACAACAGATCTTCGACTCAATGAAAATTTCACGCAGAAAACCTGTGACGAGGCTCGCTCGTCCACTCTGTTTTCGCTTTACAAGCTGTTCTCCCGCTAAGCACCATCGAAAAAGAATACGCAATATTTCGCAAATATCACGAGTCATCCGACAGTGGGAGTGTTAAAAACGCCTGCCTGTTCTTTCATTACAGACGCCACTCCAAATATTCAGCAAAACAGACGCGCTTGGAATTGTAATGTTCAGCCACAGAAACTGCTGACGTAACGTAGACACACATGGGTCGTCACTGGGGGAATTCACGAAGAAATCGCTCGCAGCTTGGGCACTCCTGTAAAATTAAAGTCCCCATTCGCGTTTCAGAGCTCTAAACCTTCCGGTCTTTTTTTTCTGTTTTTGTTGTTATTGTTGCTTCCTTTATTTGTCTACCTAACGTGCTGTTCGATTGCTACTACTTTTGAACCGAAAATCTATTTCCTTACATCGCGTGTCGATTCATGTCCCGCATTTAGTAGATCAGAAGGCGAGCGCGTTGTTGACGACCAGGGTTGTAGAAGTTACTTTAAAAATATACCTAAGATACAGTTACAGCTACTCATACGAAAAGGTACTTAGGTACGCACCAAGGTACTTGCTTAAAGTTGTACCTAGGTACAGGTACAGTTACTTTAAAGATACTGTCTTTATATATTTTCCCCAAGTTTGTCAAAATATATTGGAAGTAAAGCTTTTTATAATAATGATACACTCAAAAATTAGTTCGATAAATGTGCTTTATTGGTGCCAATGCGATGTCGACATCGGTGTTGAGTCCTCACGTGCCTTTCCCCAAGCTCCAATTGGTTCACTGAGGCCGCAGC